AACTCATTTATTTTGAAATACAATGCAATTACTTTTTGTCCAAATAAAGACAATTCTAGGCCAATTCAAGAATTACGTTTTACCGGATGTGATGTCATGGGTAAGGGGTGGGTTATAAGATCATTGACATTTGTGCTTTCTTCAAACTTATACTTACTTCTAAAAGAATTTTGAATTCTAGGAATATGTGTTGAGTTTAGCACAATAAAGCAGAGAGAAAACGTAGTATTTTAGAGTATTTTTTGCATGATCCAGCCAACAGCGCCCCACATTTTGTATTTCTTCCAATAGCCCACATTCCACATTTTGTTTGACCATGGAGAAAAAAATCTAAGAAGCGGATTCTTACAGGGGAAACAATAGATAATTACTCCAATCTACAATTGTCTTATGAAATTGAAATTCGTTTATTTCCAGCATGAACATTTTCCATGGACATCATACAGTTTCTTCTATGGCTACTGTTTGTTAAAAATACCAATGGAGCGGATGATTTTCAGTTTGACCTTCGATCAAATATGATAAAATGTTTGTAGCAAGTACTTGTGCTATTTTGTATAGTTCTCTCCCCGAATTAGGATACTAGTCCACTGCACGCTAGCTAACCGTGTTACATACGCTTTCATTCAATACACCTTTTGAGTTGMAATTATTCTTTTGAGTTTGACAAATGAGACTATTCATATCAATGTTTGCATTGCTCACATTCCTACAAATTCAAAAGAATATTTAACACGCTGTCGAGGCCTAAGAGCAACTGAAAAGTTGTATTCTAACACCAAATACACCTGTGAGTGAGGTGGGGCTATATGAGTGTAAAACATCTTGCAAAAGTACATAGCACAACGTAACGGAAGAGTAATCGAACCCACAGTACTGCTTCGGACCAACAACAGTCCAGAGACGTCTTCAATGACGATTCATCGATATGTTAATTTTTATTCTTTATTTTGATAAAGAAACAGTTTCCAGGCTTACTTCGTACAATGCATGCTACATCACTATACATGAGCAGGGTTATTCTACATCACATTACGATTTCTTGAAATATGATATGTATTTATACTTTATTTATTATAATTTTTTGGTTATAAAYCGATTTTACATCTTTCATTGAAAGACATGCTCCTTGCGCTTTTCGGCAATATTCTATATACATGGAAAGTCTAATTTTACTTCATRCAGAGAACTGACTCGTACTGCTGAACATGCACTCCTCAATCCGCTATAAATTGTTGGCCAATGACTAAAGCTAATCATTCGACATGAACATTTTAGATCTCTCTAACAGTAAATAGGCCAATTTGCACGATTTTGACTTCCGTTATCTTTTTTTACATTTATATTGTCTAAAGCGCATGCCCCAATCATGCTGTACTATAAATGCCAAGTGGTCTGGTGACTAAAACCATACTAAGGCATGATCGATGCTCGATATTTGTCCTGGTTTTGTCTTTTAATGTGCATTCTCATTTCTTTGCTATGCTCTGCATCAGACTTAATTCGATCTAGTTTATTTTGCCGATTAATTTCTTGTTCTTTTAGTCGCCTTTCCCGAGCGTCTTCCGAGTCTCTTTCGGATACCAGTCGCTGATGGTGAGCTTGGTATCGCTTTTGTTCTCGCTGTTTAAAACCATCCTGCAATGACATCRTAAAACCGATACATTTTTAGCTGTTATCCTTCACGAGCTTATAAGTTTTCTTGTGATTGGAGGAATAAAACAATTCTCATTGTTTCCTCGTTTTTATATCCTATTGTTTTCTTTTATTTAACAAATAGCTATAGTTAACCAGTCGGATAAGATCGTGCGAAACCGTGAAGAGCTACGCATTATTATTTTCAGTTTGCTTATCATCAAGATCGTCTTGGAATAAATATGAGGAAAAGGAACAGGTTTTCATTTACTTTTCCTTACGATTTATGTTTACATAGACAGTAGCGTAATTTATATATGCATGTTTCAAGTATATAGCCAGTACATTCGAAAGGSTTGCGGAAACGTGATAGATTACGGACATAATACTGAAACGTAGACGCACCTGTCTTCTTTGGCTGTGTTCTTGGGCTGCCTTCTCATAGCTCTGCTCCATGTTTWCATGCTGGACTCGACGTGTTTTCATTGCGTTAATACGATCTTCTTTCCATGTTTCTGCGTCAGTCTTTCTACGAGYGTCTACTTCACGTACGTTCTTACTGCTTTGCTTTTTGTATTGTAGTTTCTCTGATTCATGTCGCTCTTTCTCTTTAACGTCTGCAGCTATTTGTTGGTTTCTCTGGTTGATTTTTTCTCTGTTAGGACAAAAACAGAAAACGTTCAGTGATACGCATTATAAAAAAAATAAATCACACAAAATGCTAATTCAATCGGCATTATGAATATTATCGCACCAGCAGGAATTGTTGGACATGGTAATATCACACATCCTAAAATAAAGAACGCTTACAGACCCACTCCTTAATCTCGTCTTACTTATCAACTTTTCTTGATCCGACGAGGGATCAACGTCCACAATGAGTTGTTTTCTGTGTTTGCTGTTTTTGTAGGTTTCATATATCGTTCATACTGTGTTAATATAGTTTTTACTGGGATACTRACTTGAGTAATACCGTACAAGTGAACTTGCCAAACGTTCAAGTGCAACGTGTTCAAAAATTAAACCGCACCGCGCTGTGCTGCAGCATTCGTGTTTTTTGATGTTTGCAAAGACATCAATGGCAATGTGGCATCAATGTGCTGACCAGTGCTTATCATATCGAATAATTTAGTATTACCTGTGATTCTGYTGTCTGGCCGATTCCTTCTTTTCTTTCTCCATGGCATCTTTTTGTATTCTATTCTCATATTGCTGGGCAACATGTCTCTTGCGATCAAGTTTTGCCTGTTCTTTCTGCACCTTCTTCGYGTCACCGTGACCCAGGCCATCTTCCCAACATGYTGAGCGACCTGCATGATCAGGACTCCAATTCGAACTTGGTACTGTCGCAAACTTGCGGTCTGGAAAGAATAACAGGKCAGAATTATGCTATGCAGAAAGATGACAGTAACGAAAGGGGCTAGCAAGTTACCACAGCAACCTGATAAAAGTCGAGCTGTAGGCAGTGTTTATGCTATATTAGGGAAGATGGGCAAGGGGTGGAGGATTGTATGATTTAGTGTACAATGTTATCAATAATTAAGAATGGATTCTTTTGAATGACCAGTGTTGATAATGGTGTTGATTAGTGTTTTTGTGGGGGGTACTGTGAGGACCTATATATGGGGGAAGKGAAGGGGATGAACTGACCTGTTGCTTGAGGGAAAGGTACTCCTTTAGAYGATCGATACTCGTAGTGTTTTAGTTGTGGATCTACAGCTCTAGATTCAGTAAAGCCATAGTGTGGATGCCATCTCTGGTAAGTAAACTTCTTATCTGTAAGTGAAAAATATTTTCAGAATACAAGAAATAAATGAGTATTCATAATAGGCAACGAACCCTTCTAATTTTAAGACTACTTTTTSATTGCTTCTCTTTCGAACAGAAGCTCTATTATTGCACAATTACTAGCAAAATATGATTGGTTAGGTTTCGTTTTATTGTTTGGAAGATCATCTATTGTTTGTTCACTGTTTACAAACCTTTCACATTTGTTGCTAACGCTTACGTTAGCCAGATTTTTACCCTACGACGAGATGAAAAAAAGAACTGCTCTAGGTACTGCTAGGTGGATAAAGCTRTGCAGGAGATATTTAGTTTGTATCTGTAATGTCTGTTAGAATTTTATCTGCAGGAYAAGTATACTAGCACTAATCAATTTCCGTACATCCAACCCCTCCAGGTGTAACAGAAAACAACTTGTTGCTTCACTTACCAGTTGCACTAGGAAAGGCCACCCCGTCAGGAGTCTGGTATTCCTGGTGWCCAGGTCGAGCTGGTTTTTCCTGTTTAGCTTCAGCAGGTTTGGACATTAATGTATCCCGAAACCGCGCAGATCTGGGAGGTACTCCAGAGCTCCATGTCCTCCATCGCTTTTTCGGTTCTGGTTTCCCTCCAGCTTTGGACAGAGGCGTTCCTATGGGGACGCTTCGTCCTATATATCTGGTAAAATCTGCTGAAWAAATCAKAAAAATAATRGTTAAGTTCATGTMTTTGCGCACACACMCTTTTCGACCAGACATATTACTAGTTCAACATTGAACATACTATATGCTACGTTAACAATTGCTTACCATTTAATAAGCAAATAATTACTYACCAGTTTGAGTGCCAGAATCAATATCATATTTATCAAATGTCTGGGTTGCCATTTCATACGTCTTTTCGTCGTTAAGAATTTCAGAAGRGTCATCATCGATAAAGTGAACTTCCTTCTCAGTTTCCTCCAGTGCTTTCTCTTTTTCCATCTTCTCTCTTAATTTGTCCATCTTTTCTTTCATGGAGAGTGCATCCAGTAAGTGTCTATTACGATTAAGTTGCTCYTCGATTCTGGCTTTTAAAGCYGAATCATCGTCAACTTCATTTGARTCTTTAGCTRTTCTTGGAGGGTTGAATTTCCTCTGCCACGTTGACTCTGGCRGCGGTGAGCGGCMRTCATAACTTGGAGTTGTTGTCTTGGCAACCAGACGCATTTTTCTTCTYTGATTTTCTGGCATTTGTAGTTCAGTCACAAGTCGATTAAAAACTTCGAGAGGTATTCGTATTGCTATACCGGGTCCAACTTCTGTGGTTTCCCCGTTAAAGAAGGTGACTAAAAGGTTTCTTCGACCTTGATCATCATAGCCTAGAGTAAGCAAAAGGCACAAAAGCCATAATGTCATATAAGACGGTTGTATTGCAGCAAGAGTTATGTTTTGTCCTAAATGGATCTATAATCCTGGACAAAAGGAGTTGAGAATGTTTTAAAAATCGCTGAATGTTGGAATATCTCTGTATACTATTTATTTTTTCTGCCCAGCTCCCCCCACCCTCCTTCGCTCAAAGTTGTACTTTAGAGAGCACACTTACCTGCTGGATTCTGTTTGAGTGCTAACAACACTGTTTTGGGGGAGGGGAGGGGGTAGAGAGGATGTTTTGTTGAACTGATGTGAAGGGTGCAGTTATTCTCAACCTTTTTGTCCAGGATTGTAGGTTATTAATTCAAGTCAGGATAATTAATTAGCCCTCTATTGGCATAAGTGACAATTTGACAGACAGACGGATGTCATGGACCAACTCTCACAGGATGAGGAAATACAAGCGATACATTAGTGCCTAGTCTTCAGCATAGTTAACTATGTCTTCAGGGAGGGGTACGGGGCAATGGAAGAAGAGGTGCACACTAAAGATAAGGATGCTCACAAAAGACTCAAAATACAAGAAAAGTTTTAAGGGTTCAGAGTCTTAGGAGCGGTTGCTCATGAACTGAACCATCTAGCTGGATAAACAGCCAGGGATATATTGAATCCCTTAACAGAAACAGGATAAGAGGAGAGGCACTGAGGACAGCTTTGTGGTTGAGTTCTGGACCCATATGCGCAACTCTTGTTACATGTTACTTATACTTAACAGGGCAGAACGCAGGGAGGGGTGCGGGGCTTTCAGCAAGGGGTRCACCCAGCAAAAAATCATTACCATGAAGATACAAAATAAGGAAAGTATTGTTGAAGGATACTAATCTTCGTAGGGGGTGTGCAACCCTTGCACCCACCAGCTGGATCCGCCCCTTCTTAAGACATCCATGGTTGTAAACATTATATACAATCATCCCCTCTTATTTCCTCTAGTTTCYTTAAAACAATCTTTGCTCAATGAATGTCATCTCTACCTGACGAATGAGAGTCTCTTCTGTCAATACCATCTATCACAGTTCCTGGTCCATAGCGACCATCAGGTTGCCATGGTGCAAGTACTTTGTCACCTATACARACATTATGTCTGATTGAGTCTTTCATGGCGATGCATTCATATATGGGAGTCTCTTGYACAAATGGCTTTTGGATGGCTGGACACTTGTGGAAATCAAGAATGAACTTTTCATTTTGAATCTAGTTGAATAAAAGACACATCATATCAGTCTCCTTGCAACTGTAAAAGTGTTATGTATTTATTGAATTCTGAAGTAAGAATACAAACAGAGTGACATACAAATAAGAAATTTATGCAAATATTCTCATTAATTTCCAATACTTTGGTGCATAGTTCAAGTAGTTTGCCCTACACTGGCATCTAAAAATTAATAAACAAACGCAAGACAATAAACATTGTCGAATAGTGACTTGAAGTTATATTTTTTCAATAAATTATATACTTTAAATGAATTGATTTCATGTCTATTTTTAATCACATAGTATATCATCTAACAATTCCATATCAATTATAATTTTTTAGATTTTGTAACTTCATTCAATTCTTAATAACTTATCCATACCTGTCCTTTGACTGTAGCTAAGTAATACAATCCATCAGCATCTCTYCTGCCAASTACCTTCACACCTTTCATTATTGATGCAGCTACAGGAACMGAACTCACTGATTTGTTAACAAACTCWGCCAGACCTCTTGATGCTAATACWGAGTCGGCATAATCCAAAACTTGTGAATGTCCTCTCTGTTTGTCATAAACATAACGAGATACATATGGGATTGGTACGGGTCCATGKGGAGCACTCAATACACTTACATAATTCAATGGATTATCAAGGCTTGTCAAGGGGGGTGCTGACACWGGCCTGYCAATCAAAGGAGGTTGTAAGGAGTAAGGAACATTAAAGTCTGWTTCATTTATATAGTTCCTTATTGATTCTGTCCTTTCATTGAAGACAGGAGTGACTTTTTGAATGTTTCCTAGCATTGTTAAACTGATTACATGTAAAGAGCCTTTAGTTTCACGTGCGATGCTCTCAAGGAACTCGATCGCAGCCTGGTCGGAGTGTGTTCCTGTTATATAAGTAGCGTGTATAGGTCTACCATTATGAAGAAGATGTACATTATGTAGAATAACTGCCGGTGTTTGGTCAGGGAGKCCGTCTGTTACTAAGTATATTGCGTCCATTCCGTCGTCTTCGTAAGCCTGTAATAAAGCTTCCATAGTATTTGTACTCGTACCACAGCGAACGGACCGAATCCAATCACTCGCATTCGTTACTGTTCTTGGCGTACAAGGCACCATACGATCAGCCCATTTAGTAGTATTCTCATCAAATGTAATAATATTAAACATGGTATCTCTACCAGAACTAGCTCTAGATGACAGCACTTCGATCAAGTGTTCTTTCACGATCTCAAGGCTATGGTACATTGAACCAGATGTATCAATTAAAAASACAACATTCTTCTCGAATATGTTGCCAAAAATCGTMGGCCGGCCCTTCATAGTGGCCATCTGAGTATAGCTTGTAGATTTGACCATATCTAGAAGCGATCAAGTCGACTCTTGAAGTATTACTGCCACAAGAATAACATTATTTGAGACACAAAACAATATGGTTGCTAGCCGTCGCTAAGACGCTKTACATACCGGGCTTCCTGTGCAATAGCCTCATTTTCATGCGCACGCCATGTTTTCTTCCGTTTGTTGCTAGGAGAATATATCAAAATATGAGGGGGGAGGCATGCGGCATATAAATGTAATGTGATTTGTTTTCAATGTTATTTTACATCAAAGTATAAATTTGGAACTGAAGGAATACTTTTACTCTTATTGGATTAATTCAATTTGTTTATAGTGTTATAAAGTAAACAAAATTTTGAGAAAACCATGGAAAAATTTTGATAGCATTAGCCCCTYCCCCCGMAGTAAAGTTAKTCGTTTGGCGCGTACATACACTTTTGGCGGGATACGTTGTTCTGCAAACTTTCGACTGTAAAGTCGTCTCTTTTCATTTGRATTTCTTCATTTCTAGACAGCGCTATGGCTTTAGAAGTAAGTCTTGCTTTTCATTGTTACTTTATCGTATGCATTTTGGCGAAATACCAAGAGATAATGCTAGAAAATAGCGTGAATCATGTTCGCTCGATTGTCCAAASTGATGCTGCAAAGGAATGATTTCATAAACAAGAAAAGTCAAGTTTTCTCWACAGATGGAAGTCTAAGTTTTAAGCTTAAGTCACTCAGTTTTATGCCAATCTTGATGACAAACGAAACAGGTTTTCTTTGTAAGCATCTTACAAGCTTTAATACAACGAAGGCCAGCCATTTTATCAACGTAAGATAGGAAAATGACATCTATGCCTACCATTAGCTTTTGCTTTTAACCTGGGAATATAATAGAGCTGCATTTAGTGACCCGTTGAATTCAATGCGAAGCGGCTGCATTTGCAAGGTAAACTTTTGTCAGTTCATTGACACTAAAGATCGAGAGAAGAAGTGAGAGATTAGTTCACAGGTAGCCCAAGCACTGGACTTCGCAGAGAAAAAAAACGAAAAGTTCAATTAAAGTGGTAAAATTGAATAAAATTATTTCAAAATAGAACATAGTGTTCTTCTTATTTGTAAATATCTTTAAAAAGTAGGAGAAATTTTAACACATGAGCTGAAACTTTTCAGTGGTGTTGATAAAAATAAGAAGATCACTATGTTGTAGTTTGAAATGATTTTATTCAGTTTTACCATTTTTATTGAACTTTTCGTTTTTGTCTGCCAAGTCCAGTGCTTGGGCTACCTGTGATTAGTTTAACTTAATAGTTCAAAATATAAAGCCAAAAAAAAATATTTTGTTCTTTGTTAACAGGATGACTGGGCTTACTGTACGATGTGTCGATCTGCAAGACAAGGAATGACAACATTACATCGTGCYTCATTAAGAAAAGTTGAATGGCCTGAACAGACAATGCAGCCATTCCTTATTTCAGAGGTACTTGTAAACCTAAACTATGCTACTTGATATCCTACTGTTCTCCCTTCCAAACATATTTTTTTCCTGTACTAAACATGCATTGTTTGAAAAAAAAAAACTGTCTGAGGTTTTGATAACTAAAAGAATCTCAGCCAACCACAATACAGTGCACGCGTGTGTTATTGTTTACAGATACATTTAAAATTGTGTCAAGCATACAATAGATTATAGATGATAGTACCTGTGAGGTTGACAAGCTGTTTCCTCATGTTGTGTGACATCCRAACTGAAAGGATGGAAGACCATTCACGCTCACTTTAAGAAATCTACTGTTGTACGAATCTGTTGTTTTTGTGTCAATCCAAAATGGCGCTTTGGCTTGCAAGGTATTGTGGTTTGTTTATGGTTCTTTAACTATAGATCAAGTTAAATCTGAAGGCTACAAACAGTTTATCACTTTTATAGACTAAAATGAAGATTACCTAAGTGGCTGAGCTGTGGTTGGACTGTTTTGTGATTAATGATGATTACATTAGTCCCAAACTGTGACTGACTATTTGTAAAATCTCWTAGGAACCATCGTCTCCTGCTAGTATTGAAGATGCATTTGATACAGTTTTACAGTACATGAATGTTACCAGTCAGCAGTGTAAGGTAACTCAGACAACACACCTATGTCAGGGCTTTATTAGTGATGGGAAAAGAGAAAAAAGTACCTGTATATCCCACCCCTAAGTTTATTAATTTAAGTACACGGCAATGACCTTTTTGGATTATTGGGGGATTGGTTAGGATGCTTTTACAGCACAGTACGCTGTATAATCTGTCATCTGTCACTCACCTAATCCTTGAAATCATATCCATGATGATCTTGTACAATCCACTACTTATTTTAGAAAATTATTTAATAAATAAATAAAAAAATAAAGTCTTTTGTTTTGAGAGGGTAGCACGTAATAGTCCTTAGACTAATAAACTTGTGGCCCTCTATATATTCACTCATACTCACTACCTCAACATTCATTATTTTACTACACGACACTCCTCACAGCTAGTTTTTGACTGAGGGAGGAAAACCAGCGGACCTGGAGAAAAACCCTCGGAGCAAGGAAGAGAACCAGCCTACAAACTCAAATCACATATAGTCCCGGACCGGGAATCGAACCAGGACCACAGCGGTGATAGACCGGCGTTTTAACCGCTCGGCCATCCTTGCTCCCC